TCTCATCTCCCTAATCTGTAAACCTGAAAAGTGCTATTTAGAATAACAATGGCACTCCTCAGTTTTTAACAAATATTGAGTAGACCAAAATAACATTTGCTGTTTCCTAACATCTGTAAAGTACAATATGATCTCTAATACATATTTGAAGCTATATATATGTATAAATTCTATCAGTACTTGTTTCTCTTCATAGGAAAAGTGGCTGTAAAAGTTTTATAGAATCATTGGTGAGTTAACTGTCTGCTTTTTTTTACATGTAAAGTAGGAAACTTGATAATCCAGTTTTGATCCTATGCTTATTAGTGATGCTTTATTTTGTAAATCTTTTAATTCTCTTGGAGCAGTCATTCTTGCATTAAAGGATTTTGGGTAAGTTAATTAAACAGCATACATATACTGTATCAGATATTATGGTGCTTTAATTATAGGAGCTCTAATGAGATTAGAGGCCATGAGTAAATCAGAAGGGATTGTTGAGGGTGGAGAGGGGCCACATCCAACAGCTTTTTGTGCATAGCTAGTTTTGGTGGGACTAAAATCCTGCTCTCCTCTCCTGAACACAAAATGATCTTTCCTCTGCCTGGGACTTGTTATCAGTCATCCTCTCTCTGTGATCCGAGATCTTGGTTTTGACCCATTTCTGTGTAGGGTTTCTTTCTGAAAGACCTGGAGAGAAAAAAACAGTTGACTTACAGTCAGGATTTTTGTGGAGAATGTGATTATAAAGCCAGTAGTAGTAAAGAGGAGAATTTAGGAACAGTCTGTATTGCTTACAACTAGTACCAGCTTGGAGCCAGAGGGACTTGACACCTGTGTGCCTCTTCAGGTGTCTGATAGTATCGTATAAATGATACACCTTCAAAGCTGTAGTCTGGCTGCTGATGAAAACCAGAAATGTAGGCACCAAGTGCTGAATCATCTGATGGTTAATGAGCTGCTTTTGCCCTGAGTCAAACCAGAGCTTGGCAGGGCCTCTGTCATTCAGTCGGAGAGAAGCTCTGTGTTTCCAAGGGTTATTAATCCAAAGCCGTGCTCTTAACACCAGATAGCAAGTTGCTAGGACAGCTGCAAACTGACTACCAGGAGGTGATGGCAGAACGCGTGACCACCCTCCAAGTGACGTTGCAAGAACACAGAAGTTTCCGAAGGAGGGAGAGAGGTGCAGGAGGAGAAGAGACTATATTATATGCTAGATTACAGGCTTTCTAAGCCAAACCAACCACATCAGCCACTGTAAGAGTAGGAGGAGGTGGTGGATGGACCTGACCCATCAGCTCTGAGCAGCCTGTAAACTGCAGGAGCACCTAAACTTCTTCACTCTTATTTTCAGCAAACAGCTCTGAAAATCTATCCTATTCTCTTGATCACAGAATGTGTTGTATTTGGTGCCAAAATGCTGCTATGTTGACAGCTGCCCGAGGGCTGTCACAGATCAAGATGACACCCAAGTAACTTCAGAGTTAGGCGCATCAGACTTTGAAGTTAGGCTGGATTTTAGTCCCTCTTGAATGCTTGCTGTTGGATCTAGTTTGGACCAAAACTTAAGTTTGGAACAAAGGTTTACAAAATCAAGCGTTGTGAGAAATGCTTCTCAATTCTTTTAAAAGAAAACTGATCTTGAGCAATGTTATTGAATGATAGTACTGACTAGGTGTCCTAAGTGTCTGTAGACCTAGGTACTCTGTCAACATACCACCACTTTGTGTGATATGTTTATTCCCTGTGTATAAGTAGCTGCAAGCTTACTCTAAATGGATAGCTGTGATTTCCTCTTGTTTGGATAGGTCTTTGCCAGATGTAGAGCTGGAATATGTGGCCATCATTTCTTAACCATGCTATTACAGAGTGAAGGGGGAAAAGAGTGACTGTTCTTAAAACTGAGAAGATTTCTGTTAAAACTCTGATCTGAGATGCGGGGTAGTAGAAAAGATGGTGTCACCTTTGAACAGCTGCAGGAAGGGTTTTCTAATGGGGGAAGGCCTGAATTCCTGGGGTGAGGATAAATGGTATCATGAAATCATAGATGTTGGCAGCAAGGTAAATGGCAAGTTCTGCAGTGGTGATGTGAATTTGTTGGTGTTAATAGTAAAACTGATTTTGAAAGGTAAAGACTTCCTTTGAATGTGAAATCGCAGCGGGAGGTGAAGAACTGGCTTTGGTTTAGCTTGGGTCGAAATAGAGTTCTGAAGTGTGGGATTTCTGTAAAGCAGAAGCCCTGCTTGTCAGCTGTCTGCCCCCCCCCGCCAGTGTGTTGCACCTCGCTGGTCTGTTGGTGATGTTGGCGTTGGGGACCGCAGACAGGCTGAGCCATGAGAAGATTGTCTGCTGCGTGCCTTCCCACCAGCTGCTCCTAGGAGCTACAGGGCACAGGTATGGACTTAGCCCAGGGATTTTAAAGTGAAATGGGTTGAAAACTGAACTGCTACGTATTAATTGCCCAAAGAGCAGTGAAGGAGTTAAATGGGAGTGGGGAAGGCCTTCAGCTCACCTCTCTTCAGTTCCTCTCTTTCTCCACCCAGAACAACTGTTCTTCCAACTGCTGTGGGGCCTCTTGGCCCTTCATTCCTCTCTTCTTCTTGTACAAATATCTTGCTTCCTGCTGTCTAAACCAGCCAGGCTCAAGGAAAGTACGTATCGTACACGGCCAGGCTCTAAGTACATTGTCAAAATGATTAAGAGTTGTAGGGACTGTAATTTCTTCAAAAGAATTTTAACTGGTGAAGAAGGGCATTACTTACCTACCCAGTTCCACTGGTTTATCTGTCTTTCTGTGTGTTTTAGCTGCTTGCAATTATGTTTTTTTTTCTCTTTTTAATACTTGCTTTGCGAATTATACTATTTTTAAAAAAAATCCTTGTCTATAGGATTTTATTAGCCAAGTACCTATGTCCTTCTAGCATAGAAAAGTGACAGGTTTGTCATGTGATGAAGAGGCTATTTAACTTTTGAGTCTGTTTTTAAGTACTTGAAAATTTTTTGGTAATGGAAAGAAATTAATTTTAGTTGGAAATTAATGTGAACATAACATTCCTGTTTAATAGCCAGTTCTTAAATGTATGTTTTTGTGTTATGGCACACATATGTTTATTATATAGGTAAAGAAGCATTGTGATCGTGGTTGCATAATAAGTGAAATAAAAAAAAATTAGAATGGAAAACAAATTCAAGATTTTCTTTATAGAAAAAAAACTTCATGGATTTCAGTGCAGAAGGTCTGAAGTTTAACAGTAGTTTAAGCCAGATTTGGAACTGAATTTGAAATGACTTACAGTCCATATTTACCTTCATAGCTTCCTCACTGCTTCAATTTGAGTGTGTATTTTCACTGACAAGCTTGCTGGGGTGTGTGGTTGCTACTGCTTATTTACTTAATTGTGAGAAAGACTGTACACTTCCTAGATTACAATTCCATGAAAAGAGACAGAAATTTCTGAAGCTATACTACTTCCTTTTCCTTATGAGCTTGCTAGCAGACTGTAGTACACTTAGAAAACTGCACATCTTTTACCAGAAATATTGGATTGAAATAATAATAAAAGTACCTTTCCTCTTCTGCGGGCTTTTTTTCTCCAGTGGCGTTATTTATTCAGTACAGTATGCTTTATATTGGATATTATATTGGAGAATAGAAGGGATGAGTTTGAACTTTGTCAAGCCTAGTCATGCTGATGCTGTTGCGTGTTATCTTCTACCACTGACATGCCACGAATGGCAACAAAGGCACCTCTCTAGTTTAATTGGTTTGGCTCCATGTAACGGACTGATTCATGGATTTTGCCTTATCTAATATTTTTAAAACCCCCCAGCATGGTCAGAAAACTGATGGAATGTTGCAGAGAGGCGATCTGATAAGGATGTAAATGCCTCAAACAGCCCTGGTGCCGAATATGTAAAGAGATTAGGAAATCTTGCGGAGGCAGGATGGCCTTACCTCTAGCATATCCTCCAAAGAGATGAGGCATTCACACGTGTTAATGATGGGGCATTTGTACATGTTAATGAGAATTACTGGAAACAATGGAGGGCCTGGATCCCCTACCTCACATTCTGCACGTCTGCACGTAGAAAATTGTGTATAAATTGAAGCAAGGAAAAAAGAAGGTAAAGAAGAAGAAGAAAAGAAGAGAGAAGACAACGGCGGATGCATCCTGAACTCTGCTTTGGTTGGACCTACGCAGGAACCTGGACCAGTGATATCTCTCTCTCTCTCCCCCCGCTCCCCCTCTCTCTCTCCCTTTTCCTCGAGAAGTATCTTTCTTTTTCCTTTTCCTCACTAGGTAATGCAAGGTCTATCATACTGTTTATTTGATTTTTATGCCTAAATTTCTTTCCTGTGATGGTTAAGTGTAATACTGTTTGTCTTAACATTGTGTTTGGATCTCCTTTATCAAGTTGTTGTAGCGCATTGCTTAAGTGTAATATTGTCTGACTTAACATTGCGTTTAGTTGTCCTTTATTATTCCTTGTCATTAAGTTGTTGTAGTGCATGGTCTATTTAGCCTTTTTCCTGGATTTTTGTTATATTGTCTGCCCTATCGTGCTTTTGAATTAGAATCGATTGTCGTGAGCCCGATCTATACATTGTGATAAATTAATAAATGTTTGTGTTTGGGCCTTGAGACTCGTCTCACCGTTGTCCACGCCGTTGGTGTATTGCGAATCTAAAAGTCACTTGTCCCTCTCTCCTGAGTGGGACGTGACACTCCGTGATCTCGTAGGAATGGTGGTGTATTAGTGCAGGGGTGTAGGCTGGGGATCTGAATGACTCTGTCCTTTTAGGCTGTAGGAAAGGGAAGTCCTATCCAAACTGTTTCAGCAGTGGTGTGGCTCTGTGGGACTGCTCACACAATACAAGGAAGGAAGAAGAGTGAGAAAAAGACTGCCAGGCTGGGAAGGGCTTGGGGATGTTGTAAGAACTGGTTTGCCCCAGAAGGTGGCCTTGGTCAGGGTAAGCTTTCATAAAACAAAAGGGAATCATGAGGACTGGTGACCTCCACGTATAACATGAATCTTTGGCCTCTGTTTAAACCTGCAGCTGAATACTGGCCAGTTATTCTGGTAATTGGTGGCCAGAAAGTGAAATGGGATGGAGGCAGGCAGGAAATAAATCTAATTTAAAAAAAAAAATAAAACAAGCAGTAATGGATTTTAAACACAATTTAAAGTATAGAACTTCCGGGAAAATAATGAGTTAGTGTTTGATGGGGGTTTTTTTACACCCTATAGGCAGCAGAGAGGAGGTAGGTGCAGCATGCTATCTACGACACTTAGAGGAGTGGTGTGAGAGGTGCCACGTTCCCGAACAAGCAAAAAGGGCTTCACTGTTGCTGCAGCATGGGGTCAAAGAAATGGTGAGGGGGAGAGCTTTTTAATGCTTTCAGTTATTTTAATGCTGCTTGTTGTGCGAGTGCGTGCTTTGGGAAGAGGACACCTTATGCCTTTCTATTCCAGCACCCCTGTGTAGTGCCAGGTAAAATTTGTCTGCTTAGCAGTGCTCTTTCAGAGGCCTTATGGAAGCAAGTATGTAAAGAAGTGCTCAGTGCTTTTTCAAGTGCATGTGCACTTCAGTTGTGCAATAGCTTGGAAACTCTGCTTAGTTGACTTTATGGCATTAGCATGCAGCTTAAAAAGGGGAAAGAATGTGCAACTCAGAAGTGTTTTGGAATGGACGGATCCACAAAAAAGCAAACATGCCCCACCATATTTAGGTGCGAAGTGTTGGGTACCAACTACAAAATGTAGGTGTTAGGACTCCAGGCAGAATTATGGTAGTGATGGTATATTTTTATTGTGGTGAACTAATCTTACTCAGATTAAGCCAGAAGATCAGTTGTAAAACACTAGAGTTCTTTCTAAATGATGTTGCTGTTAGACACATATGAGTATTGACATATATGTGGCCATCTAGACCTCAGAGTGGCTGAAGTGAAATATATTATTAAAATCTGGATATTTCAAAATATTTATAGTCCCTATTTTTCTTACGTAGGAGGAGTGAAAATTTAATCAACCTCATAAATTTTCACCGATTTGCATAAAGTAGATTCAGCCTCGCTTCTGTTGTATTCCTCAGTAACACTTTAAGAGTAAGTTTTCAAACTTCTGAAGATGCCCGTTCTTTCAAGGCAGTTGTAACTTTCTTTTGAAATTACTTGAACCCTTCCAGTCTCAAGTTTTAAACTGTTCTTGCAGTGAGTTGCAACTGTTACTGATGGGCATTGCTGAGTGCTTTGCCTCAGTAAAGTAGATATTTCATGAGAAGGTTTGATTGTTCTTTTTGTGAGAGTAACTCAGCAAATCCTACTTGAAATATCTCAGAACGTATTGCTCCATGAAGACCTCATCTGGGCCAAGACAGGTAGTCAGACAAGGCCAAGCCATTGCTTTTGGTAAATTAAGGATCTAAAATGAGTTCTGGATTGCATTCTTTTTCTTTCTGTATCACGAAAAGCAAACGTTGTCTAAACCTGAAGTCTGCAGTCATTTTAGACAGAAGTGCTGTTCACCCTAACCTGCAACTTGTTTCCTACCGTTTATGCGTCATCTGATCCACCAGCAGAAAAAAATTATCTGTTTTAAACGTAACCTTTTAGAACTATTTTGTACTTTTTACTTTCTTTGAGGGGGGGAGGGGTAGTCTTACCCAGTTCCCAATTGTTTCATTCACAGTGTGCATATGTTTATTCCCCCACAAGGCAGTGTAGAATAAAGTGTTTGTGACTAAGCAGGGCTGTATTTTTTGGCAGCTGTAAGAGCCTGTCAGAACAAAATGATTGAAAAGGCAGTGCAAGGGAAGGGGCTAGAACATGTTCAAGATGACGGCAGCTGGAGGTTTTTATTGGAGCTCTCGATGAAATCAAACCTGCAATTTGGTCCTGTTGCTGCATCATTTCCTTTTTCGCAATCCAGACGGAAGTTGTGGCTTGTCCAGCACCCGAAGGTGTGTCTGCACCCCCAGCTCTTGGGCAGGTGTGGTGGCACGGTCCAGGGCGTTTTTCTGAGCTGCCTGCAGCCCTGAGGTTCCCGGCCCAGGCTGGTACCCGCTAGTCCTGTCTGTGCTGCCTGTGGCATCACCAGGTAAGAAGCTATCAACTACGTGGAATTTTAAAGCATCCCTGAGAATTTTATAAACATACAACTGAATATTCCTCAGGCAGTTTTACCAGTGAAGTTTTTTGTGTGAGTATTGTTGCAGATGAGGAACCTGTTTTTTTCAACTAGCTTGTTTCAACAGCTTTAGTTTGCTGCATTCAAGCAATGCCAACCCAGTATGATCATTATTTTCTTGAGACGAATTTTTGCTGCACTAGAGAGCTCTCAAAAGATGTTCCTTGTTGTTCCTTACCTGTTTGAATAACAAGTGAAAAGATCCAGAGCTCAAAAATAATATAAAGTTTTCTGGTTTTTATTGTGTGAATTGTGGGATAGTGTTTTATTGTTGGGTTTTTTGGGGGGAGGAAGTGGTATTTTCTGCAAAGAAACAAAATGCATGGAGACTTTATTAATTATGATGTTATTTAAAAATGCACTAACAGGACGAGGTACAGCACAGTTGTGGAAGAACTGCTATGCTTCATCATGAGATCTTTGCTGAGGAACTTTCTTTTTGAGCTTGTTCATTCATTTTTTTTGGTACAAGTACAAAAAAATTGATTTAGAGATGAAAACCAAAATCAGTTTATTACTATTCCAGTATGATCTTTTGCACTCTTAATTGACTTCTTGTGTTTCTATAGGTATACTAGTTTTGACCCATAAAAAATTAAAGCCTGGGTTTTTTTTAGGCTGTATGTAATCCACACTTATGGCACGTGCATTGGCATGAATGGAGTGTAGCTATAGCTTTCACAGTCTAGAAGCATGTTTCATAGTGAGAAGCACTGAGATGCTTATGTGGGTTTTGTTTGGAGGCAGGGGAGGAGACAAAGGAGAGGGCTCCCTCTCCTTGCCTCAGCACTGAACTGGCACCAGATGGTAAATTTTCTGATACTAACTAGCTTACCACTTAACTTCTGTATTGAGTTTTGATCTGGGATAATTTTATCAGTCCTTATGGTGAAAAGGAAGAGCATGGAAGAGGGGTTTTGGTGATTTTTTTGTTGTTATTGTTTTGATTTTTTTTTTTTCAAATAGGAGCTCACCCAACTTGGAATATTAGTAAGAGGCAACAAATCTGGGTTAACGATGACAGGTGATGTGAGGAGCCAATAATGACGGAACCACTGAAAACGGGAATGCAATTTCAGGATGTGGTAGAGAGACGAGAGTAACGATGCTGCTGTATGTGGTGATACTTTCTTTGGAATCTCAGGCACAAAGATTTAAGAAAAATGGTGTGAACCAGGAAGGACTGCAAGGAAACTCCAGGAAGGAGCCATGAGGAGAAGCAACTGTTCTCTAAATGCAAGAGGGGGCAAGTTGGGTAGGCACTTCTAAATAACTTTTGGCACAACACAAACTATAAAAGTTGCAATGAATTAAGTTAGGCTAGAAATCAACATGAGCCTATATATTTGGCATAGAAGAGAGGGAACTTGGACAACCCTTCTAGTCTCTGGATTTGGAAAGGCGCAGTATCTGAGCAGCTCTCAAAGCCAGCACCTTTGATGCTGTCAAAAAGGACTCACTGTGTGGTACTATTATGGTCTGAATTTGGCCCAGTTGGATGAGCAAGGCTGCCTGACCCTCTCGGCATGGACTCTGGCAAGAAGCTTGAGTTTGGTGAGGAAATAGTGGAAGAGTTTTACTGTCTGGTGTTGTGGTTTTTTTAACCATATAAAACAGCAAAGAATTTTTTAATGCCCAACATGTCCAGACTGTAAGCACTTCAAATCATGCTTTTGGGTCTGGCATTTTCCAGTCTGGAAGAAATTTGAAGTCAGATGTCTCATTGTTTTTAGGAGAAATGGCTTTTAACTAAACTTTGAAACAGTGTTTTTGAGACTGCGTTTGGTTAGATCAAGCTGGCTGAATCGGAATAATTTCCACGTGGTTTCCTTCCTCCGCTGCCAGGGGAGAGACTTCGTTGCCGTTACCTGAGTTGACCTACACCATAGAGGATGCCTTTGTGAAATGACTCTCCAAGGGAACTCATGCAGGCTGTTGTATAAAGAAACTTATGAGAGAAAGAACAATTAACACAGATCAGTATTTGTTTGTTGTATTTTTCACAGATTGCTTTTACGTGAAAACAGCGAACAGAACAGATGAAAAACTATGTAGCATTGAAAAACAATCTCTGAAATCAGGTGGTTTGAGTGTGGGATTTGTTTAGAATTTTTTTTCTTTTTTTTTGAGAAACTACAGTTACAAGCTGGGCAAATGCGCTGTTAATTACTGGAAGGTAATAGCTGGTAGTTTTTGAACTTCCTTATCTTTCTGTTAGTTTTTCGCTTAGCTTCACTTCCTAGGCTGCAGCATTTATCTCCTGATACTCATTCTAAAGGTCTTTTTTTTCCTTTTAGCCTTTGAATACCGATGTCTGACAAGTTTTGTAAAAGGGTTTTAGCATGCTTAAAGGACCTATGTTGGCTGCCAGGTAGTCTTTTGGTACGTTGAGGTGGTTGCAGGGTGATTTGTTGGGGATTCTGGTGAAATCCATCCTGTCTCTGTGTCTGGCCTGGTAGGAAGGGTTGGAACTGTTGTGCTCTTTATAGTTGCTATATGCAGAAACTAGATCCACAGGGAAAATCAACAAATTTTGCACAGAAGTGGAGACTGACTAGCCAAGCACATCTTACGTCTTTAATGTCCTGTATGTGTTTGCACCTTTGAAGAATGTGTAACATTAAAGAATCATTTTATTTAGTTCTTAACTTTATACCAGACTAAACTGATCTCCTGAAGGGTTTTAGTTTTACAAACTTCTTTAGTGAAGTCTGTATGGGAAGATGAATTTCATGGAAGCATTAATCGATTTAATTTTTGGCTCCAAAGTTTTAGGCACTAAGCTGATCACAAGCCGACTTGTGGATTTTAGCAAACCTTATGCAAACACAAATACCATATATGCTGACACCAACAGGTGTTGAAACATTACTTCATGTATGTAAGCCATG